GGGCTGGGGATTCGAACCCGCCACCTTAGGTGTATGTGGCTGGTGCCTTAGCTGATTGAGCCACAGGTGCCGAGCCTTCATTGCAGATTTTTATGTGATAAATCAGTGGTGAATTAGTGGGCTGATGCCAGTTAACGTCCTACCAGCATGGCTTCTATGGAGGTTTGTAGCAAACCGACCTATAGGTAATCGGTCTGAGCCAAGTTAACCTGTCACCTTTCCATATTAAAATAAGGGTTATTTGGTATTTTTAAAAAGTATACAGTTATACTCTCTAATTGGATTTTTCTTCATTGGGTTTTTCTTATTTGGATTTAAGAATGAGAAGAATAATTTTATATTAAATATAATCAAGGGTTGGAAACTCTTGACATATTTTTATGTTCTTACTCATTTAACATTCATTAAGGGCTTGCTACGCGCCAGATACTGTGCCAGTAATATTAGATACATTTTCCCATTTATCATCTCCAGCTGATAGGTGAGGAAATCAAGGTATAGAAAAGTTAATTGAATGCTTCAAAGTTATATTGTAAATAATAATAAAAGGATTTAAGTGATAAAACAACTAAAATTTCTTTTTAAATTTCATTTGTTCTTCTTAACACAATGACTTCTGTTTGGTTTGTGTAGGTTTTAGAGAAAATTTCTGAAACTTTTGGATATAGACATTTAGAAGACTTCATGGCTTCTCATTTAGATTATCTGGTTTTGGAATGGCTAAATCTTCAAGATACTGATGAATACAGCTTATCTTCTTTTCCTTTTATTTTATTAAACTACACAAAAGTTGAAGATTTCTACAGGTAGGTCTCTATATGGTGTATGTAAAGTATGTTTAATTTAGAATTAGATGATGTTTGTCAGTTCACCACAGCACATGGATGTGGATGTGGGAGGCTACATAGTGTGAGAAGACAGACAGCTTGTTTTAAAGGCAGTGTATTGATGTGAGTCACTAGATTTAGTGTTTGGTCCTAAATATCAATAACTAGCTATTTGACTTTGTGCAAGCCATATAAACACTCTCTATGTCTTGATTACTTAAAGCATGGGAGTTAAGCTGAGATCTTTAACATCCCTTTAAGCCTTAATATTTGATAATCTTTTTGGGGGGGAATCAAAGATAATGACTAGTGAGTAGCTGGTTATTTCTACCTTGTTTTTATTTTCTATTGCTTGACTATAGGCTGTTGTAGTCATTATTTCTATTAGATTTAGAAGTTTAATGTAAGAGTTTATTTTGCTGCCTTTAACTCTAGAGAAGAAAATTTTGAAAATGGAGAGGTTGAAACAACTAAAGAGTAAGTTAGGTTATCAGGGTAGATTGGAAAACATCTAATATTTGTTGAACATGCTCTGTGCTAGGGATTTTGCTAGGCAGCTCACATGGAGTTATATCACAAATGAGTTTCATGTGTTCATAGTATAGCTTTCTAATTATAGTAGTTATAGGTAGATAGTTGCCTTTAAGAAGGTTATTTCTACAGAAGTAAATTTAATACTCTTTACAGTTTATTCACCTTGGCAAGAACAATAAGGTTGTTGTTCTATATATGCTCAGGATTAGTTCCAGGACATAATATCCCACCCCCACATACCCAAATCAGCACATAATCAAGTCCCCAAGTTGTCCCTGCACAACTCAATTATGGGAAAAGTTAGCCCTCTGTGTACTTGAGTTTCCCATTCCATGAATACTGTTTTTCAATCTCTGGTTGGTTGAAAAATATCCATGTGTGAGTGGACTCGTGCAAGCATGCAAGTTGTTCGCAGTTCAGCTTAATTATGTTTGTTCTTTGAATTATAAATTGCTTTTACATTTCATGTTTTTTTCTTTCTTTTCTTTTCTTTTTTTTTTTTAGAGATAGAGTCTCACTTTATTGCCCTTGGTAGAGTGCCGTGGCATCACAGCTCACAGCAACCTCCAACTCTTGGGCTTAGGCAATTCTCTTGCCTCAGCCTCCCAAGTAGCTGGGACGATGGGCATCTGCCGCAATGCCCGACTATTTTTTGTTGTTGTTGTTGCAGTTTGGCTGGGGCTGGGTTTGAACCTGCCACCCTTGGTATATGGGGCTGGCACCCTACTCACTGAGCCACAGACGCTGCCCCACATTTCATTTTATAATAAAGTTTTATGTGAACTGATTATGCAGAAGAAATATATAGTCAAGTCCTTATTTTTTATTACATAATTAGAATGACATATTAAGCTCTTTATTTTTTTTTTCAGTGTGACTATTTAGAGCTTAATATTATTTTTCCATTTATAAACTTAAAGTATGCTTAATGATTCAGATAAAGTGATGCTATAATGCTGACTATATCAAACCATTTTATTTTATAAAGAACTAGATTATAAAATATTTTGAAAAGTTTTGCATATAACTTTTATTTTAAATTTTTGTATCTTTAGATCTTGTTATAAAGTTTTAATTCCACATTTGGTAATTAGAAGTCATTTTGATGAAGTGAAGTCTATTGCAAATCAGATTCAAGAGGACTGGAAAAGTCTTCTAATAGACTGCTTTCCAAAGATTCTTGTAAATATTCTTCCTTATTTTGCCTATGAGTGTTCAGAAGACAGTGGAATGGCACAGCAAAGAGAGACCGCTAGTAAGGTCTATGATATGCTCAAAAGTGAAAACTTACTGGGAAAACAGGTATGGCTTCACAACTTCTACCCACTTTTTCCTCCCTAATTGATCTGAGATGTAAACTTTAAGTTTTAGATTTATTTATTTATTTGTTTATTTTGGGTTGTTTCTATGTACAATTTGGAATACTTTCATCCAACTGGTTAACAGAGCCTTCATGTCATTTTCTTAGTTGTTGTGTTCAGACATTTATACTCTACATTTAGTAAGATTCACATGTACCCTTATAGGATAAATCATAGGCGTGATCCCACCATTCACCCTCCCTTCACCCATCCTCCCCTCACCCCTCCCTTCCCTGTCCCCTTACGATATTTGTACCAGAATGTTCATTACAGCCCAATTCATAATTGCTAGGTCATGGAAGAAGCCCAAGTGCCCATCAACCCATGAATGGATCAATAAATTGTGGTATATGTACACCATGCAGCCATAAAGAAAGATGGAAACTTTACCTCCTTCATGTTTACATGGATGGAGCTGGAGAAGATTCTTCTTAGCAAAGTATCTCAAGAATGGAAGAAAAAGTATCCAATGTACTCAACCCTATTATGAAACTAATTTATAGCTATCATAGGAAAACTATACCCAATTTTAGCCCAAGATCTCTTTATTCTTATTTACACAGCTCAACTTAGCTTGTGGTAATCACTATCTAGCATAACCAACCCATGAATTTTTTTTGGTTATATGATGTTCTCTCCCTTTAATTGGTGTTTAAATAAGTGGAAATGTTTTTAGTCAGAGTAACAAGAAATACTTTTGAATAATTTTTTTACTTTTGCCTTTTTAAAATTTATTTTAATGGTTAGTAATAGTTAAATACAAACTTGTTAAATTCAAGTAATACTGCATGTATAGAAATGTATAGACGTATAGAAAATCTACTCTCTGTCTTTATTCTCACCAAGCTTTCCACTTTTTTTTTTTTTTAATTTTAAGTAAATTTATTTCAAGTTAATGTGAGGGTAGAAGCAGCTAGGTCAAAATATTTGATTTTGGTAGGTAGAGTTCATCTTGTGGTCGTGCCCCCCACACAAAAGGTGTGCCAACCCCAACCCCCCCATATTTGTTCAGTGAGAGCACACTGCCCCCCACCCCATTACCCCTACCCCCAACTTCAATTGAACTGAGTTTTTCTCCTATTTGGGCATGCGTTGGATCATCTGCTGGCTTCATATTAGTATTGAGTACATTGGATATTTGCTTTTCCATTCTTGTGATAACTTTACTAAGAAGAATGTGTTTCACCTTCATCCAGGATATTATAAAAGATGTGAAGTCACCATCTTTTTTATGACTGAATAGTATTCCATAGTGTACATGTACCACAATTTGTTAATCCAGTCCTGGGTTGGTGGGCATTTAGGTTGTTTCCACATTTTGGCAATTGTAAATTGAACTGTGATAAACAGTCTAGTGTGGATGTTCTTATGGTAAGATGATTTTGTCTTCTGGGTAGATGCCTGCTAGTGGGATTGCAAGGTCAAATGGAGATCTAATTGAGATCTTTGCGGATTCTCCATCTTCTTTCCAAAGAGGCTGTATGAGTTTGTAGTCTCACTAACAGTGTAAAAGTGTTCCCCTTTCACATCCATGCCCCCAGCATCTGCAGCTTTGGGACTTTGTGATGTGGGCTAATCTTACAGGGGTTAGGTGATATCTCAGACTGGCCACTTTTCAAGGAAAAGTACCATCCCAATTTCCTATACCCTGCTTTTTTTCATGGCACTTCTTACCTTCTAAAATGATATAATTTACTTTTCAATTATATTAATTGTTTATTATTAGTCTTCTCCACTATAATATAGGTACTGTTAAGGTGGGAGTTTTATCTTTTTTTGGCCAATGTATCTCAACCACTTGTTATATTTTGGGTACTCATTAAGTATTTGATAGAAGAAGGAGTCAAGAGGGCTCTAATAACCTTTGTTTGTTTTATAATAGTTTATATACATCTAAAATTATTTGAGGCAATTTACATTGAAACATAGATAGGTTTTTTTTAAGGTTAAAAAAGGTTTGTTCACTCCGAATTTATTTATGATTTGTTTTGGATGTAAGGGCTGATTAACTAAACTTGGTTAATGTTATAAAGCAAGGTTAATAAGCTGTTAATGTTAGAATTACAATTGGATAAACTTCCAGAGACTTTGTATTTTCCTAGTTATATATACTGAACCAAGAAATGGAGCATCGAGTTCGTTAGTTGCTTAGGTGGAACCATTCAGAACTGGTTGTAAGTTTGTAGTCCGGAGGCTAATAATTTCTTAGCTCTGTGGCTAAAGACTTGAGTTAAATTTTTGCTAGTTTCAATTTCATTTAGCATTAAGTTTAGTTATAAGTTAATTTTTTTGGTTTTCCAATATATGCTTTCCCTGAAACAGTCTTGTAGATTGTTTTTTTTTCCCTGTGTGTCAGTACAACTAGCGTCAGTCTTTGAGTCTTCTAAATCTGCCGATTATTGAATTCATAAAATATTTACGATTTGTAAGATTGTTTAGCTATACCTAGACATTTGAACAATTTATGTGTACCTTAGCTAAATTAGGGTTACTATAGAATCTTATGAAACTGGGAACGTCAGTTATCATATAATATGCAAGGGAACTCAGTTTTTCTTGTGCTATTAATAAAATTTGACCAGTTTTTCCTCATTTATTTTGGACATATTTGGAATGAGGCTGAATTTTAAAAGGACTGACACCTTGGAGATGATGTCATAGACAACTGATGAGTAAGCCCAAGAGAAAGGCTAGGATCTTCACATTAGGTTTCTTTTGTCGCCTTCTAAAATATTTTTTGTTATGAGAAAGTGCATTTTTGAATTCCTTATGCATCAAGTAAGTTAGCCATTTGCCTTTTAGTTTACAGCAGTGGAATTCCTTATTTGGAAAGTTAATAAGTCTACCTTTAAAACTGCACAGTTCTCATTCATTTGGCTAAACTGTAACATAGGAAACTCATTCTTTATATTTAGAGAATTCATGTCCTTTGTGGAGCTATAGTGGGAAGCAGATTGATGAAAAGTCTGTGTCTGTGGGGGAGGACTTTAGTCTATAATTGATGAAAGGGGATTTGTGTAACAGCTGTCCTCAGAATTTAGAATGTCACTTTAGCAGAGTCTGGGAAGAAGTCACACAGGAAACAAAATGGGGTATTCTTCCCAGTGAAGTTCTACAAGTGAGGCCTAGTTCCCAAATAAGTCGAGAATAAAATGCAGATTGAGGAGCTATAGAGATGTGTGGGGAATTTAGTTGGTGGGAGAATTATCAGGTTCAGTAATTTAAAGCTAGATCTGAAGTTTTAGTTAAAATGATTCTTTAAAATTAAAGAATTTGATTAAGTGGGCCTTATTTGTTTTTTTTTTTTTTTTTTTTTTTTTTTGAGATGGAGCCTCAAGCTATCCCCCTGGGTAGAGTGCCATGGCATCACGCTCACAGCAACCTCCAACTCCTGAGCTCAAGCGAGTCTCCTGCCTCAGCCTCCCAAGTAGCTGGGACTACAGGCGCCCGCCACAACGCCTGGCCATTTTTTGGTTGCAGCCATCATTGTTGTTTGGCGGGCCCGGGCTGGGGATTCGAACCCGCCACCTTAGGTGTATGTGGCTGGCGCCTTAGCCGCTTGAGCCACAGGCACTGAGCCGTGGGCCTTATTTGTTATGATTTCCCTACATTTTCCTTTTCGTCTATATATCAGTCAGCATAGGCTAAAAAGGTAGAGTTATCTTGGAGGTTTTAGCCTTTGGTCATCTGTTTTATAGTCAGTGAATGGTTTTGGAAATAGACAATAACATAAGCCTTTTGAACTGTCTTAAAGGTCACATACAAAATATTAAATATATTTTAATTTCATGTCCTTGCAGATTGATCATTTATTTATTAGTAATTTACCCGAGATTGTGGTGGAGTTATTGATGACATTACATGAACCAGCAAATTCTGGTGCCAGCCAAAGCACTGACATCTCTGACTTTTTGGGGTATGCACATTTGAAACTTAGAGAATTAGCTGCTGCAACTTCACAAGTTCCTAAGGAAGTTTATTGGTTGATACCTTCAAATGTCTGTTTCAATTTTTAGACTTGTACTCTTTTCTAGAAGTTTGTTTCTTTAAAAACAGGCACATTTTAATTAAGGTAATTGCCTATCTTCTTTTACTGTGACTTCCTCACAATAATTACTCTTTCAAGTTGACCATTTTTTTTTTTGCAAATCCAATAACCTTTCTTCTTAATCTTTCTGTAATATTTGAGCATTTATTTGAGCATTTGTGCCATTTATTGTCTTTTGACTTTTTTTTCTTACTGCATGTTACGCCTGATTCTTCCTATCTGTAACTTGCCTTTTTATTTCTTTATTTTTTATTTTTTATTTTTGTAAAGATAGGGTCTCACTCTGGCTCACTTTGGTGCATGCCGGTCTTCCACTAGTCTTGAACTCAGCTGAGCTCAGGTGATCCACCTGCCTCAGCTTCCCACAGCGCTGGGACAACAGGCGTGAGCCACCACGCCCGGCCAACTTGCGTTTTTAGATTACCTTTTCTTTATTATGCTCCTTAGGTATACAATTTAATTTGGATGTGAAACCCCCTTAGTTGTATATGACTGTTACAGTATTTTATTTTCCCAGCTTAATGGTAAGCTACTTGTTGCTTGTAAAAGTACCTTTTACTTTTTTTTATACTGTTGCAGGCATTCAAAATAGTAATAATATATACCAGCATATTTTCACATATATAATTTCATTCATGCCTAAAATATTATTAATTTTAAGCACTAGCAGAGAGCTTTAATTCAGACCTGAAGTGATATAGTACTAAAGTTTGTTTGTGGAGCTGCCAATAATTTTATGAAAGATTATTAAGCTAATTAAGTTAAGCAAATTATTTAGGAGTGTTTAATTATAGAAGGTGAAAAGTATTTAGATATCCTGATGGATATGGACTGTGATATGTCATTTGTGATATTGTTAAAAGTATAGTTTTTCAGTTTAAAATTTGGACATTATTATAACTTAAATTTGTGCTTTAGAAGTTCACTCGTTTCTCAACAAAACCTGTTCTTTTTTCTTGATAATTTTGTTCTGAAAATGATTACTGCATTTTTTTTCTCATTATTTTAGGGATTTGGATCCTGCTCCTAATCCACCTCATTTTCCATCACATGTGATTAAAGCAACATTTGCCTATATCAGCAATTGTCATAAAACTAAGTTTAAAAGCATTCTAGAAATTCTTTCCAGAAGTCCTGTAAGTATACATGACTAGTATAATAATGGAAGAGAGAATTCCTTCTTTTTTAGCTAGAAAACCTGATTAAGTACATTTTATTTATTTTTTTGAGACAGAATCTCACTTTGTCACTGTCCATAGAGTGCTGTGGCATCATAGCTCATAGCAACCTCCAACTCCTGGGCTCAAGCAATTCTCTTGCCTCAGCTTTCCAAGTAGCTAGGACTATAAACACCCACCATAATGCCAGGCTATTTTTGGAGACAGGTCTCACTCTTGCTCAGGCTGTTCTTGCACCTGTGAGCTCATGCAGTCCATGCGCCTCAGCCTCCCAGAGTGCTCGGATGACAGGCCTGAGCCACTGTGCCTGGCCTGATTAAGTATATCTTAAAGAGGGAAATTAAAGAAATAAAAAGTTTATCTGAATCATTTAAAAAGAAAAACACTCATTTATAGGTTTATACCTTGGTATTTTAGTTATCATTGTTAATTGAAGTATGTTACATATGAGGCCAAAATTTCATGATACTTTAGTCATTCATTAGTTCTGGGAATATATTTAATTTTTCATAAGAACACTCTAATTAATTATAGCTTACTATCTGAAAACGAAGTAAATTGGCAGTAGTTTTAAGATAGTCCTTTAAGAAAGTTTGTTGCTTTTTGTTTTAAAGTAATTATAGATTTACAGGAAGTTATTAGAGAAAAAGAAACAAAGAGGCATGGAGGTCCCCTGTGTACCTTCCACTAACTTTCATCGTGGTGACATCTTGTGTATATATCACCGCAGCACAATATTACAACCAGGAAATTGGCCTTGGTGCAATGTAGAGAACTAAGATAGTAATTTTCTTAAGGAAACATTTTGCATTTGATAGCAAACTCAAATCTAAATTCTGCTGTTTCGTTTTTGCAGTATTAAATGTATGTATTATAGCTGAGTATATGTGATCAGACAAGTTTTACTAAATGTGTATTTATTTTCTAGGATTCCTATCAGAAAATTCTTCTAGCCATATGTGAGCAAGCAGAGACAAATAATGTTTATAAAAAGCACAGAATTCTTAAAATATATCATCTATTTGTTAGTTTATTACTAAAAGATATAAAAACTGGCTTAGGAGGAGCTTGGGCCTTTGTTCTTCGAGATGTTATTTACACTTTGATTCACTATATCAACAAAAGGTAAATAATATATTTGGACCAATATATATATACTGTTTTTCTGCCCTTTCTTTTAACTGAAAATTTATGTTTCTAAAAGGTATGTTTCTAAAATTTATGTTTCTAAAAGACTCCAGAGTATTGCTTTCTGAGTTTTGCTTTATAATATGTCTCGTATATCTACCTATTAGTCTTTTAAAATTACACTACTACTTCTCCAATTTTAGAAATCTTACATGCAGCCGGACATGGTGACTTACTCTTGTAATCCAGTAACTTGAAAGGGAAGTGGAGAGATTACTTGAGGCCGAGAGTTTGAGAGCAGCATGGGCAGCATTGTGAGACCCCATCTCTTAAGTACTAAGAATCTTCAACATATGAAAACAAATATGTAACCTCAGCACTTTCAGAGGCTGAGGTGAATGGATTGCCTGAGCTCACGAGTTGGAGACAGCCTGAGCAAGAGTGAGACCTCCGTCTCTTTAAAAATAGCAGGGAGTTGTGGCTGGTGCCTACAGTCCTAGATACTTGGGAGGCTGAGGCAAGAGAATCATTTGAGCCCAAGAGTTAGAGGTTGCTGTGAGCTATGACACCATGACATTCTATGGAGGGTGACAAAGTGAGACTCTGTTTCAAAAAAAATAAAAATAAAATAAAACAAATATTCTAGCTATTGATGGCCTCAAATATGCTGTTATGGAATTGGGGGTTGTTCCTGGGTGTTTTTCGTTGATATTAATTACATTTCCAGTGTTTTACCTACCTTAGCCCATCTATTTCCAAGATTTTGGAAAGTGTAATCTGCTTTCTGTTTCAATAATTTGCCTATCCTGGATATTTCATGTAAGTTGAATTATGCAGTATTTGTACTTACGTGTCTAGCTTGCTTCACTTAGCATAATGTCTTCAGGGTTTGTGTTGCAGCAGGTGTCAGAACTTCATTTTTTATCAGATGAGTAATACTCCATAGTATGTGCTTTTCTATCAGATAATGAACATTTGGGTGTTCCTACCTGTGGCTGTCATGAATGATGCTGAAGTACCTATTGTCCCACACGTGTCTGCTTGAATCCCTAATTCCAGTTCCTTTGGTTGTATACCTAGGAGGAGCATTGATAGGTCATGTGGTAATTTTCCACTAAGCTTTTTCAGGAACCATCAAACTATTTTCCATAATAACTGTACCATTTTACATTTTACCTGCAGTGTAAATAGGTTCCAACATCTTGACCTGTGCCTCTTATTTTCTGTTTAGTTTACTTTAGCTGTCTTGGCAGATGAGAGAAAGTATCTCATTGTGGTTTTGATTTTGCATTTCTCTAATGACTAATGATGTTGAACATCTCTTTTGTTTTTTGTTTGTTTTTTTTTTCAAGAGACAAGATCTACTCTGTAACCCAGGCTGGAGTACCTTGACACAATAATTTGGCTCTAGCAATCCTCCTGCCTCACCCTCCTAAGTAGCTGAGCCTTCAGGCATGTGCTACCACATTGGCCATTTTTAAATTTTTTATAGAGACATGATCCTGCTGTATTGCCTTGGCTGAGCTTAAATTCCTAGCCTCAAGTGATCTTCCTGCCTCAGCCTCCTAGAATGCTGGGAATGCAGGCAGGAGTCACCACATTGAATACTTTTCATGCATTTATTGACCATTTGTGTATCTTCTTTGGAGAAATGTCTATTCTGATATTTTTGCCCATTTTTAAAATTAGGTTGTTCATTATTCTTGAGCTCTAGGAGCTCTTTATATATTCTCTATATGAATGTATTTTTTTTTAATTTGAGACGGATATATTGCCCTTGGTAGAGTGCAGTGGCATCACAGCTTACAGAAACCTCAAACTTTTGGGCTTAACTGGTTCTCTTGCCTCAGCCTCACAAGTAGCTGGGACTATAGGCGCCTACTACAACATCTGGCTTTTTTTTTTTTTTTTTTTTTGTAGTTGTCATTGTTGCTTAGCGGCCCGGGGCCAGGTTCCAACCCGCCAGCCCAGTGTATGTGGTGGTACCCTAACCACCGAGCTACAGGCGCTGAGCCTGTACGTTTGTATTAAACTCATAGAAGATATGTGATTTGCAAATACTTTCCTCTATTTAAAATTGCCTTTTCACTTTCCTGATCATGTCTTTTGGTGCACAAGTTTTAAATTTTGATTAAGTTCAATTTATCTTTTTTTGGTGTCATCTGTAAGAATCCACTGTCAAATGGTCATGAAGATTTATCGTTATGTTTTATTCTGAGATTTTAGCTTCTATATTTAGATCATTCATTGGTCTATATCAAGTTAATTTTTCTATATGGTGTGAGATAGAGGGTCTAGCTTCATTCTCTTGCATGTGGAAATCTAATGTCCTAGCACCATTTGAAGAGACTATTCTTTCATGGAGTAGTTTAGTATGCTTGTCAAAAATCAGTCAGCTATTGATTTATTTCTGGACTCTTCATTTCTGTGTCGGTACCACACTGTTTTTATTGCTGAAATTTTATAGTAAATTTTAAAAACAGGAAATCTTCTAACTTTCTTTAAAGATCGTTTTTGGTTTATGGGGAATCCTGCAGTTCTGGATGAATTTTAGGATCAACTTTCCCATTTTGGCCAAAAATCTGTTGGAATTTCTATTGGGATTGTCATTGAATCTGTAGATTACTTGGGTAGTGTTATCATCTTAACAGTATCATCTTCCATACCGTGAAACGTATCCTGTGTTATTTGGATCTTCTTTAATTTCTTTCCGTAGCACTTTGTAGTTTTCAGGTTATAAATCTTTCACATTCTTGGTTACATATATTCCTAGGTAATTCTTTTAGATGCTATTTTAAGTAGAATTGGTTTATTAATTTCCTTTTTTTGTTTTTTGTAAAGACAGTCTCACTTTATCACCCTTGGTAGAGTGCCAGGGCATCACACTGCTCAAAACAACCTCCAACTCCTGGGCCTACGCGATTCTGTTGCCTCAGCCTCCTGCATAGCTGGGACTACAGGTGCTCGCCACAATGCCCTGTAGTGGCTACCCTTTTGTTGCAGTTCAGCTGGGGTCGGGTTTGAAACTGCCACCCTCGGTATATGGGGCCAGCGCCCTACCCACTGAGCCACAGGCTCCACCCATCAATTTCCTTTTTGGATTGCCATATTTGTTGTATAGAAACCTCTGACTTTCGTGTGTTGATCATGTTACCTGCAACTTAATTGAATTGGTACATGCTAGTAGCTTTCATTTGAATTCTTTGGGAGTTTCTGTGTATTATATGTACAGAGTCAGGTCATGTGTGAATAGAGATAATTTTACCTCTTCCTTTCCAGGTTTCATGCCCTTTTTTCCTTTTTCTTATTGCTATGGCTAGAACTTAAGTGCACTGTTGAATATTCGTGGTGAAAGAGGGAATCCCTTATCTTGTTCTGAATGTTAGGGGAAAGCTTTCTGTCTTTCATTCTTAACTATGATGCTTGCTATGAATTTTTCATAAATTCCCTTTATTATGTTGGGGAAGCTCATTCCTATTCTTATTTTCTAAGTGTTTTTATTATGAAAGGGTGTTGAGTTTTGTCAAATGTCTTTTCTGTGCCTATTGAGATAATGTAGCTTTTTCCTTCATTGTATTAAGGTGATGTGTTACTTGGATTGGTTTTTCTTACATTGAAACACTCTTAGATTCCTAGAATAAATTCCACTTAGTCATGGTGTATAATTCTTTTAGTACAGTGGTCCCCAAACTTTCTGGCACCAGGAATTGGTTTCATAGGAAGATAGTTTGTTTGTGGCTGGGGGTTGTGGTGGTATTATTTTGGGATGATTAAGTACATTACATTTATTGTGCGCTTTATTTATGCAGAATCAGTGAGTGGTGTGAAGTGGGTAGGAATACAGTGAAGCTTTGCTCACTTGCCTGTGGCTCAGCTCCTGCTGTGCAGCCTGATTCCTAACAGGTCATGGGCTGATTTCAGTCTGTAGCCTGGTGGGTGGAGGGCTGGGGGGCATTGAGGGTAGTGGGGACCATAACTTTAATATACTATTGGATTTGTTTGCTGGTATTTTGTTGAGTTTTGCATCATATTCATAACATGTATTGGATATTGTAATTTTTTTGTGGTATCTTTATCTCTGGTGTCAGGGAAATGCCGGTCTCATAGAATAAGTTAAGAAGTGTTCTCTCCTCTTATAATGTTAGGAAAGATCAGTATTAATTCTTCCTTAAATACAAAATGTATTTAAAAAATGTATACCTATTTTAAGAAAGGAAAAAACTATTAAAATCATAATACTCAATATATATTGATAACAAAGGATGAGTAAAAGTCATGTTTGAGACCCTTTTGTACTTGCAAGCATTACAATTTTAATATAGTTTTTTCCTTTCTTGAAATTTGCAGGCTCGGCGCCTATAGCTCAACCGGCTAAAGCGCCAGCCACGTACACCTAAGGTGGCGGGTTTGAATCCCCAGCCCGGACCGCCAAACAACAATGAGGGCTGCAACCAAAAAATAGCCGGGGGCGTTGTGGCGGGCGCCTGTGGTCCCAGCTACTTGGGAGGCAGAGGCAGGAGACTCGCTTGAGCCCAGGAGTTGGAGGTTGCTATGAGCTGTAATGCCATGGCACTCTACCCAGGGGGACAGCTTGAGGCTCTGTCTCAAAAAAAAAAAAAAAAAGAAATTTGCATGTGTTTTGGGCGACGCCTGTGGCTCAGAGTGTAGGGCACCAGCCCCATATACCAGAGGTGGCAGGTTCGAACCTGGCCCTGGGCAAAAAAAAAAAACAACCACCAAAAAGCAACTGGATCTCTATCTCTCACCACATACAGAATTTGCATACATCTTCACCCTCTGTATTTGTTGAGATTCCCAAGAGAAGGCTTCTGGTCCAGATTTTCTGCTGAAATGTACTAATTTGAGTATCTTCACTTTTGACAGGTCTGTTCAGATTTTCTGTTTCTTCTTGAGTCAGCTTTTATAAATTGTGTATTTCTAGGAATTTGTTTATTTCATCTAGGTTATATCTAATTTGTTAGATATAATTGTTCATTTTATTATAATTTTTATGTCTGTCTTCTCTTTTTTCCCCCTCCTTCGTAAGGTTGGCTGCAGAGGTTTGTCAATTTTGTTTATCTTATCAAAGAACTAATTTTTGATTTATTGATCTTTTCTAATATTTTTCTGTTCTCTTGTTTTATCTCCACTCTAATCTTTACTATCTCCTTCCTTCCATTAGCTTTGAGTTCACTCTTTTTTCTAGTTCTTTAAGATACACAGGTTATTGAATTGACATATTTTTTTTCCTTATTTTTGAGATACTTCTTTTTGTAATGTGTTTACTGCTACAGATTTATTTCCCTCTCAGCACTGTCTTTGCTGCATCTCATAAATTTTAATATGTTGTATTTTCATTTTTGTTCATCTCTCAGCTCTTTTATTGTATTTAAGGTAGTTTGACATTTTTCCCTAGTAATTCCAATGTCTGAGCTTCCTCAGGAAATATTTCTGTCAATATATCATGTTTCTTTGAGTGGCTCATACTTTTCTGTTTCTTTGTATGTCTCGTGATTTTTTTTTTTGTTATTAAAAACTGGACATTTCATTATTGTAATGTAGTAATTGTGGAAATCAGTTTTTCCCTTTTCCAGAGTTTGACCTGTGTTTTGATTGTTGAAGGCTGTAGTAGTCCATCTGTTTCATGAATTTAACTTGCTATTTTTCAGAGTGTGTTTTTCCGACCATGCACGGTCTCTGAAGATTCTGCTTCTTAGCCTTGAATTTAGACAGTGTTTGACAGATTTCTTTTAATGTCAGGAGTATTGGGCTGAGAGGGAATGAGGGAGAGAATAAAACAATTAACCAGTGTTTGCACATTGGCTCTGTGCTGGGACTCTCTTTCAATAATAAGTCATGCTTACATTGAATCTTGGAAACAGCTCCAAGTAAAACCTTAGGGTTTTCACTGATCATCTCTGAATTGGCTCAAAAGCCTTACCTTGGTGGTGTGTGTGGCTTTCCAAATTTACCCTAATTTGTGGGTGCTTTTTTTTTTTTTTTTTTTTTTGAGACAGAGTCTGACTATGTCACCCTCAATAGAGCGCTCTGGCATCACAGCTCACAGCAAACTCAAACTCTTGGGCTGAAACAGTTCTCTTGCCTTAGCCTCCCAAGTAGCTGGGACTACAGGCACCTGCCATAACGCCTGGTTTTTTGTTGCAGTTGTCATTGGTTAGCCGGCCTGGGCCCAGCCAGCCTCTGACTGGCGCTGTAACCACTGTGCTACAAGTGCTGAGCCATGTGAGCCTCCTAGGTAGCTGTGACTACAGGCGCCCACCACAATGCCTGGCTATTTTTTGTTGCAGTTGTCATTGTTTAGCTGGCCCAGCCAGCCTCAGTGTATGTGGCCAGCACTATAACCACTGTGCTACAGGCGCCAAGCCATGTGGGTGCTTTAAATGCACTAATTTCCTCTAAGATACTCTCTTGCCAGCTTTTCCCCCCCTATGCTTTAGGTAATCTCTTTATGTTTCAAGAGTAATCTTTTGCTCTACATACCTGTAGGATGTTGGTCAGCCTTACAAAGTTCAAGCAGTGCCCATAGGTTTTTCATCTTAGGTGAGGTTTGTTAAGCAAAACAAAATCAGGCCCCCTGTGTCTCCTTAACTCCCAGACAGGTTAGAATAGATATGGTCAAGAGTTTTAAAATAAGTTCTTTGCTCCTTCAAGAACCACCATGATCCAGTGTCCATATGGGGATATGAGCTGCTGATTTATGATTGCTGCTGAACTGGGAAGGGGCAGGCAAGCTCAAGTAGAATCACAACAGAGCTTTCTTACAGTTTTTCTTGATTCACTATTTTCTTGATTGCTACAAACCTTTGACTGTCCTACAGAGTCTTAACAAAGTTGGTTCTGACAATTTTGCTCGTTTTTCAGTCTTTCTACCTAAGGACAGGAGCTTAGGGGTATCTGTTGTACATTTTGCTGACATTTCCATTTGGCTTAACCATTAAGGTATTAGATATGAAAGCGACTTTATGTCAAGCCATGTCAGAATTAGAGATGTTGAATAAAGTGACTTTTGAATGGATTTATTTCAATTCTGTTTCTTAGAAACCTATTTTTTTCTCCTTATTAGGCCTTCCCGTTTAACAGATGTGGCATTACGTAGCTTCTCTCTTTGTTGTGACCTGTTAAGTCGTGTTTGTCAGACAGCAGTGACTAACTGCAAGGATGCTTTAGAAAATCACCTTCATGTTATTGTTGGTACACTTATTCCCCTTGTGGATGATCAGGAGGTTCAGGAACAGGTAATTTCTCAAATCATCTTCAAAATGGTATTTGAAGTATATTGCTAAAGTATTTTTGGAAGGAGCGCATTGTTTTGTGTTTACTTTGTATTTTTGCTAGGTAATTTAAAATATATTCATCAAAATTACTTAAAATACTCAAAACTAGGGCTAGCCTGGCCCCCATAGGTAAAATCAAAACTACTATGTAATTTTGATACTGATAATTTTCAATTAACTGAAAATTATCAGTTTTTGATTTACTATATTACCTGATAGTTTTCTCTGTTACTTAAAGTACTCGAAATTAGGGCTAGCCTAGCCCTGGCTGAACTGCAACAACAAAAAAATAGCTGGGCGTTGGTGGCGGGTGCCTGTAGTCCCAGCTACTCGGGAGGCTGAGGCCAGAGAATTGTCTAAACCTAGGAGTTAGAGGTTGCTGTGAGCTGTGTGACACCACGGCACTACTAAGGGCGATAAAGCAAGACTCTGTCTTTACATGAAAAAACAAAACAAAAACAAACTAGGAATAGTAGTTCACTCCATCATGATGGTGTGAGAGATATCACTTATATAAAATGTTTTGTTAATATTAGCTTTATACCCCCCTTGTAGTAGTACCTTACATCTTTGTTGACTTATTTGAAATTAAAAGCTAGGTATTTTAGAATTAGAACATTTTATTTATCTGAACTAGGATGGTGCAGTTTTTATTTATTACAGCCAGTTTTTATTCTTTAAAATAAAATTGTTTTTCTCCTTTTAATTTTTCCTTGTTAAATTATATTTAGGTATTGGACTTGTTGAAATACTTAGTGATTGGCAACAAGGATAATGAAAACCTCTATCTCACAATTAAACTTTTAGATCCTTTTCCTGACCATGTTGTTTTTAAGGATTTACGTATTACTCAGCAAAAAATCAAATATAGTAGAGGACCCTTTTCACTCTTGGAGGTAATAAAAATTTCATCTTACTATTTTGTATTACAGAGTATAGATAATAATACTTCTAAAAAACCTCAAATGTTTTAGCAGTAAAAAACTGTATCTGTTTTTTATTGTGGTAAAAAAAAATACAGGGTGGTGCCTGTGGCTCAAAGGAGTAGAGCGCCAGCCCCGTATGCCAGAGATGGCGGGTTCAAACCCAGGCCTGGCCAAAAACTGAAAAAAAAAAAAAAAATTACATAAGATCTACTTCTTAACAAATAAAAATATGCATCTTAATGTAACTCTATGCAAGCTTCCTGGTAAAGATCTGAATTTATGAAATATTTTTAGTTTTAATATGTATAAGATCCACAGTCCACCACTATCTCAAAATTACTATCTGATCCTTACAGGTTCAATTAGTGCTTGCATTAGAGAAAATATTTAACTTTAAAAGAGTATCTCAAGTTCTAATCTTTCAAAACTAAAAAGTCTAATCAAAATTATGTTTAGGTACATTTTTCTATACAACTTGTATTATAATTTAAAATTTTAATCTGTTTGACTCTATATTAGTATGAAAACATTTAAATATATTAAGATGAGAAACTAGAGTTATTATTAAATAGAAATTTAAGCTTTTCTCTCCAATTGAGTATGCTATAGCATATTGAAATGTATGTTGTCAGAGGAGAGTCTGTTAGAGTTTAAAGGATTAAAAACGTGTAGGGTTTGAAGTGAAGAAGTCATTTATTTCCACTTTGGTAGTAATAGTGATGTAAGTCCGTGTCTGTAATTTTTTTCTTTTTCTAAGTAAGTTTTATTTCACAGACTTAACCAACTCATGTTAAAAGCAAGTTACATTTTAACTAATTTTCTCTTACAGGAAATTAACCATTTTCTCTCAGTCAGTGTTTATGATGCACTTCCATTGACAAGACTTGAAGGACTGAAAGATCTTCGAAGACAGCTGGAGCAACATAAAGATCAGATGATGGATCTTATGAGAGCGTCTCAGGGTACTGATTTCAATGGCAAGGGTTTCTTTTCTTTTTTTCTTTTCCTTCTTTCTTTCGTTTCTTCTCTCCCTTCCCTCTCCTTCCCCTTCTCCTCCTTTCCCCATTTCTTTTTCTCTCTGCTTTTCTTTCTTTTTTTTCCTTTTTCTTTTTCTTTCTGGCCTTTCTTGGTGGGATCTTGCTCTCTCATCTAGGTTGGACTATGGTGGTACAATCATGGCCCTAAACTCGTGGGCTGAGGTGATCATTTTGCCTCAGCTACAGGACTAAGTGGGAGTCTAGGCAACATGGGCTATTTCTTCCTGTTTCTCTTCGAAAGAATCTTTCATAAAATCTTGATCTTGGTTTGGTTACAACAGACTTAATTCAGACTCTCACCATTTGGTTAAAATTCTCATCATTTCTTATCTAACTGTAAAACTGATCCTAACTGGTCTCCTCATCTTGAATTATTCCAATTTTATTCATCCTCTGCCAGAATGATTTCTGTAAACCTAGATGTGATTTTTTTTTTTCTAAAACCTTTTAACAAATTCTAGTGCCTAAAAGAAAATTATAATTCCTTAGAGCTAGGCGAATAAAGTAGGTGTCTTTGCCTTCTATTCCAACTTAACCTGGATAAAAAACAGAATGTCTTATTTCGTATGTTTGTTGTGTGTATGTATAAATAGTTATGTGTTTATTATCTGTGTTTCTAGCTCATTTTTTACGTATGAAAACAGATAATTAAATGTTTTATGTTAATTTGATCAGAGTTTATGTTATTACAGTATTACACATGGGAAAAACTTTCTACTTATGTTTTGATTTTCATTTTACTTTGCTAATTAATTTCATATTTCTATCTGAAGGATTTTTTTTTTCCTTTTTTAAGAGTCTCAATCTGTTGCCCCAGATTAAAGTGTTGTGGCATCATAGTTCACAGCAACCTCAAACTCCTGGGGTCAAGCAATCCTCCTGCTTAGCCTCCTGAGTAGCTATAACTACCGGCACCCACCACAACATCCAGCCAATTTTTCTATTTCTGATAGAGATGGGGGTCTCGTTGTTTAGTGTGGTCTCAAAAAACTCTTGAGCTCAACTGATGCTTTCACCTTGGCCTCCCAGAGTGCTAGGATTATAGGCACCAGCCACTGTCCCTGGCCCTCCTAAGGACTTTTTAAACTAATTATAGTTTTGACTCTCTGAGCTTAGAGTTTCTAGTGCATTTGTTAAGAAATATAGAAAATATGAATACTGATATCTTTTGTTTTTGCATGATTATCTATTGATTAGATTTGGCTTGTACAAAATAGTCACTGGCCATTTGGAGCTGTTTAAATGAATTAAATAAAATTTTAAGTTCACTGTTTTCCCTGTACTAATACATGTCAAGTTCTCAGTAATAGGTCAGGCATAGTTGCTCACATTAGTAATCCCACTGCCTTGGGAGGCTGAGGCAGAAGGATCACTTGTCACCAAGAATTCAAGACCAGCCTGGGCAGCATAGCAAGACCACATGTCTACAAAAAAATTAAAAATTAGCCAACATGATGACACGTGTTTATAGTCCCTAGCTATGTAGGAGGCTAATGGGGGTGGATTGCATGAGCCCAGGAGTTGGAGGTCACAGTGAGCTGTGATCATTCCATTGTACACCATCATGGGTGACAGAGCAAGACACTGTCTCAAGGAAATAGTTCTCTCTAGTACATGTGACTAGTTCTTGTCATTGGACAGCATAGATTATGGACATTTCCATCATTCAGAAATTTGTTTTGGGCTAGTGCTGGTCCAAAGTGCTGGTCTGGACTTTAAATACCAAATGTTAAGAAGCCCCAAGCAGCCTCCCAAGGTCCCTGCTAGCTTTATTGTTGAATGATGTTTGTGTTTCTAATTGTTGTGATTTTACTAAGGTACTGACTTCTCTGCAAAATTTGCTTATGACATTTTTCTCTCAAAAATTACTAATTACTTCCACATGGCTGTGTTTCATAAGGAAGTTCAAATTCATTTCTTACATACTTTTTTAACTGCTCATGACCTAAAACCTTTATGAAACTTTATAAAAGTTTTCTAGTCTAGTAATTTAATATATGTGTATATTATAAACAAAAATGTTGCCTATGTGTAATATAAACTGATTTTTTTTGAAATTATTCCTAGGTAACCCACAAGATGGCATGGTGAAGCTAGTTGTCAATTTGTTGCAGTTATCCAAGATGGCAATAAACCACACTGGGGAAAGAGAAGTTTTAGGTAAACTAGAGTCATGTCCTACGTGGTGATGTTTCCGTCAGCAGCGGACCACATATATGGCAGTGTTTTATAAGACTGTCATTCTGTATTTTTATTGTGGCTTTTCCATGTTTTTCCATACAAATTCTTACCATTGCATTACAGTTGCCTCCAGTATTCAGTATAGTAACATGTTGTACGGTATTGTATCCTAGGTATGTAGTAGGCTATATCCAAATATACTTACATGTTGCTTAATGGTGGGGATGCATTCTGAGAAGTGTGTTTTTCTTTCTTTTTTTTTTTTGAGACAGAGCCTCAAGCTATCCCCCTGGGTAGAGTGCTGTGGCATCATAGCTCACAGCAATCTCCAATTCCTGGGCTCAAGCGAGTCTCCTGCCACAGCCTCCCAAGTAGCTGGGACCACAGGTGCCTGCCACAATGCCCAGCTATTTTTTTTTGGTTGCAGCCGTCATTGTTGTTTTGGCAGGCCTGGGCTGGATTCGAATCCGCCACCTTAGGTGTTCGTGGTTGGTGCCTTAGCCACTTGAGCCACAGGCGCTGAGCCGAGAAGTGTGTTTTTCAATGACATAGCCCTACTACACACCTAGGATATATGCTATATATATATATATATAGCCCAGGAGTTTGAGTTTGCTGTAAGCTATGACAGCACTGCACTCTAGCCTGGGCACATGATCAGCTGGAAGTTATCATGACAACATTTTCTCAAGTAGAAAAATGAGAAGAATAAGTGGTACTTCACAAACTATACTGTGTTTTCAATAGTCTTTCTTAACTTCTCAGTGAGAGCCTAGTATCTAGGGTGCTTTCTTTTATAGATTTTGTAATTGAAATATATCTTACATGTAAAAAATTGTGCATAATTATCTAGCTTGAAGAATCTTCATACAGTACATTTGTGCATCTAGCACCAGACTGAAAAAACAGAACTTTGCTGGAACCCTAGAAGTTTCCTTTGAACAGGGAATTTACCTGCTTCTTTATAGTAGCAGTACTTCTAGGTACAAACCTGATTTGGTATAGGAGTATCCTCCTATGTAGTATAAAATCATAGGCTAAGGCGCCAGCCACGTACACCTAAGGTGGCGGGTTCGAATCCCCAGCCCGGACCCGCCAAACAACAATGATGGCTGCAACCAAAAAATAGCCGGGCGTTGTGGTGGGCGCCTGTGGTCCCAGCTACTTGGGAGGCGGAGGCAGAAGACTCGCTTGAGCCCAGGAGTTGGAGGTTGCTGTGAGCTGTAATGCCACGGCACTCTACCCAGGGGGACAGCTTGAGGCTCTGTCTCAAAAAAAAAAAAATAAAATAAAATAAAATCATAGAGGTTTGAATCCACACGTAACATCATACTCAGTGATGAGAAACTGAAATCTTTCAGCTTAAGATCAGAAATGAGACAAGGCTATCACTGCTGTGCAACATTATATTCAAAGTTCTAGCTAGAGCAATTAGACAATAAAAAGAAATTAAAAGTATGAAAACTGGAAAAAAAGTAAAACTGTCTTCATAGATGGCATGATCCTATATGTAGAAAATCTCAGAGAATCCACATAAAAGCTACTATAAATCTAATAAGCAAATTCAGCAAAGTTACAGGGTACAAGATCAACCCATAAAAATCATTGTGTTTGTATACAGTGTACAATCTGAAAAGAAAATCAGGGAAACATTTCCATTTACCATAGCCGTCAAACAAATAAATACTTGGAAATTAATTAAACGGGTGAAAGACTTATATACATTCTGTTGCTAGAAGTGAGTTATTAAGTACAATCCACACTGAAGGGAAGGGAAATTAGACTCCCCCTTTTGAAAGGGGGTCTCAAGGAATCTGTGAGCGTATTTTAATAAATACTAACTATGACTGGGAAAGAGCATAAGGAGTTGTCTGGGATGCTGAAAATACTCTGTCTTCATCTGGTTAGGGATAACAAAGGTAGGAAAAAAATAGGTGGGTATAAATTTTCTTTGAATTGGATAGTTAAGATTTATGGAGGCTGGGTGGCTCACTTGCTCATGTCTGTAATCCTAGCACTTTGGAAGCTAAGGCAGATGGATCCCTTGAGCTCAGAAGTTTGAGACCAGCTGAAAAAATGTAAGATCCCTTCTCTACTAAAAATAGAAAACCTAGCAGGGCATCATGTCAGGCACGGAGGCTGAGAAAAGAGGATTGCTTGACCTCAGGAATTTGACGTTGCTGGGACCTATAATACCATGGCACTATGGCCTGGGCAACAGAGTGAGACTTTCTCAAAAAAGAAAAAAAAAAGATTTATGGAATTTAGGCTAGACATGATGGCTAATAACCTGTAATCCCAACACGTTGGGAGGCCAAGGCAGAAGGATCACTTAGCTGGGTGTGGTGGTATGTGCCTGTAGTCCCAGCTACTTAGGAGACTGAGGCAGGCAGATCACTTAAGCCTGGGAATATGAGGCTTAGTGAATTTCAGAGTTGGATCATCCCACTCTACTCTAGCCTGGGTGACAGAGTGAGACTTGGTCTCTAAAAGAAATAAATAAGATTTATAGAACTTATATAAATGTATGCAGTAGCTCAAAAAAATTTTTAGTAAAGGTAGATACTCTCCTTCAGAGACCATGTGTATACTTTCATCATTTTGTTTGTTTGTTTGTTTGTGTCTCTATTTGAGGCAGGGCCTTGCTTTGTTGCCTGGGATAGAATGCAGTGGCAAGATCATAGCTTACTATGTCCTCATACTCCTGGGCTTAAGTGATTCTCCTTCATTAGCCTGCCAAGTACATGGGACTACAGGCACATGCCACCATGTCCTGCTACTTTTTCTATTTTTTTAGAGTCTGCATCCC